TATATACAACAGCCTAAACCCTGCTCTATCCTGTGCCAATCACACTGCCTCTGACACACTCATTCTGATTACCCCAGTCACTAAATCAATCCACCTTATAGAGGGTCTTCCTCTCCTATGCTATCCCTCCACCCTCCCAAGCATGATGCCCCTCTCCAAGGATCGGTCCCTCCTTACAACATGTCGAAAGTATGTCAGACAAAACCCCAGAATCCTCGCCTCCAAGGAGCAGCCCAGATTAACCCTCTGTAGAATGAATCTGTTTGTTTTCTTAGCAGTCCATGGTACACTTAATACTCTTCTCCAGCACCACAGCTCAAAGGCATCAATACTCCTTCTATCCTCCTAAGTCATTGTCCAACTCTCTGATGCATAACAAGTGATTGCAAAGCCCATAGCCTGTATCAGACACACCTTAGTCTCCAGAGTGACACCACTGCATGCTCTATTCTATGCCAACTTCACTGTCTCCGACACACCTACTCCCACTACCCCAATCACTGAATCAATCCATCTCATCAAGGGTCTTCCTCTCCTGTGTCGCCCCTCCACTCTCCCAAACATGATGTCCCTCTCCAAGGCCCAGTCCCTCCTTGCAACATGCCCAAAGTATGTCAGATAAAGCTTGAGAATCTTTGACTCCAAGCAGCAGCCCAACTTCACCCTCTTCAGGACAAATCTGTTTGTTCTCCTAGCAGTCTATGGTATATTCAACACTCTTCTCCAGCACCACAGCTCAAAGGCATCAATTCTCTTTCTATCATTCCTAGTCACTGCCCAGCTCTCCAATGCATAGCACACAACTGTGAAGACTACAGCCTGGATCAGGTGCACCTTAGTCTCTAGCCTGACATCATTGTTCTTCAGTACTGTGGAGAGGTCCCTGACAGCTGACTTTCCCAGTGCAATTAATCTCTTGATTTTCTGGCTGCTTATACCAGGAGTGTTGACTGTGGAGCCAAGTAAACTAAAATTGTTAACTATCTCAATCTCTTCACCATTCATACTGATGCTATCAATTGGCCCTGTGGTGAGAATCTTTGTTTTCTTGATGTTGAGCTTCAATTCAAATTGAAGGCTGTAGTCCTTGACCTATTGCAGCCAGCACTTCAGGTCCACCTCTGTTTCAGCAAATATTTCAGTACTCTATGTAAAATCTAAGGTGGTGGTGGTGTTGTGTACTGTTGACTCATGGCTGACCCTCCAGTGGTTTTTAGAGGCAATAAATCTTACAGGAGTTGATTGCCTAATCTTTTTTCCCCTGGAGCAGCTGGTGGATTCAAACCATGGACCCTTGGTTGACAATGCAATTCCTTACCACTAAGCATAGAGATGGTACTCAAAATTTTACACCAGCTCAATCTTATGTAGATAAAAACTTACACAGTTTCAAAATGTAGTTTCTTAGTTGGATGCCACAGACTCAGTTTTTGACTCATAGTGACCCCGTGTGACAGAACAAAATAAAACCACAGGGTTTTCTAGGTTGTAATCTTTAGAGATCACCAGGGTTTTTTTTTCCTATATTTTATTAATTTTCATAAACATTTACAGAGATTTTGGGTTTCCATTCATTCATTGTTGCACTATTCTCTCTACCCTCCTCCCAGTTTGTTCTTGTCCAAATGCCACAGTGCTTGTCAAAGCCAGTTCTGATTAATCTTCTTTGTCAGTGTGTCCTTTGCCATTCCCTATCACTCCTCCCTGAGAGAGACTTCACCCTGAGTCATAAGGAAAAGGGGATGGCGTATTCTCTTAGCTACCAGGTCTTTTTTTATGGAGCTGCTGGTGAGTTCAAAATTTTACATTAGCAGTTGAGGACTTAACTTTTGTGTCACTAAGAGGCTTTTGCAGTCTTGCATATTGTTCTGTGCCATCAGGATGGCTCTGACTCGTGAATAACTCTTGTTTACAACCGAAGAGGTTCCTGACTGATACTTCACCAATCTCAAGATCTCTGCCATGTCAATCCATCTCCCTCAAAGTCTCCCTCTTTCTCATTGCCCCTCTAACTTTTCCAAGCATGGTTTCCTCCTCTAGGGACTGGTACCTCCTGATAACATGCCCACAGCATGAGACAAAGTCTCACCATCCTTTCTTCTAAGGAGCTGTCTGTCTGTTTTTCCTCCATGACAGATTGGTCTGTTCTTTTAGCCATCCATGGCTAAAATAAATATTCTTCAACAAGACCACAATTTAAGGGCATCAGTTCTTCTTTGATCTTCCTTATTAACCACCCAACTTTCACATTCACATGAAGCAACTAAAAAAAATCTATGTCTTGAGCCAGGTACACCTTAATCTTTAAAATAATATCCTTGCCCTTTAGCACTTTAAGGAGGTCTTTGGCAGCAAATTTGCCCAATGTAACACATGATTTGATTTCTTGACTGCTGTGTCCATGAGTGTTGAATATTAATCCAAGCAAAATGAAATCTTGGGCAATTTCAGTCTTTTCTCCCTTTATCATCGTATCATTCAGCTCTTCCTTAAATGTATTTACCAAATACATATACACATACAGAGATAGTAGTAATTTAAAAAAACCAAACAAACCCTCATAGTCATTGATTCAGAACCAACCCACAGTGGGTCTCTGACGGCTATATATCACATGGGAGGAGACTGCCCATCTTTCTCTTGTGGAGTAAATGGTGGATTCAAATGGTGTGCATTTGTGTTAGCAGTGCAGCTGCTTACTCACTAGGAAACTAGGGCTCCCTGACAGTAGTAATTGTTGTTTTTAAGCGCTGTCAAGTCATAGAAAATCGTAGAGACCCTTTGAATGGAAGACCTGAATATGTATAACTCTCACCATTTCTCTACGTTCATAGAGTTTCTGGAGGCAAGCTGTTCTGGAAAGGGATGCGACTCCTGCTTCCAAGCCTGTTTTAATTTGAGAGCTCCACCAAACACTATCCACCATGGGTAACCATTATAGCATTTGACACATCAATGTCACAGTGTTTATCATCACAACAACAATGAGTTAACTCTGTATTGAGAACAGACAGATGAGGGCTACTTAGAAGAATGTTTGATTCAAAACAATTAAAACCAAGCCTGAGAGCTGCAACCCTGAGGGCCCAAATCTAATCAGCTCACACTCAACTGTAAGAAAACAGTCCACACACAAGCCTCAACCAAAACTCTCTAGAAAGCACACCTCTGTAGAATCTAGCTGCTCCACTCATCTTCCCAAACTGGAAAGCAGTGTCAGTAGTAATACACTATATATAATTTTGCATTGGGAAAATCTGCTGTCAGAGACTTCTCCAAATTACGGAAGAGCAATGATGTCATTCTGGAGATTAAGGTGTGCCTGATTCAGGTCATGGCCTTTGAAATTACTTGTTATGCATCAGAAGATAGGACAATGACCAGGGATGATAGAAGGAGAATTGATGCCTCTGAGCTGTGGTGCTGGAGAAGAGTATTGAATATAACATGGACTGCTAGGAGAACAAACAAGTTTGTCCTAGATAGCGTAAGACCAAGCTGTTCCTTAGAGGCAAGGATTCTAAAGTTTCATCTGACATACTTTGGACATGTTGCAAGGAGGGACCCATTCTTAGAAACGGGTGTCATACTTGGGATGGTAGAGGGACAGTGCAAGAGAGGAAGACCCTCAATGAGATGGATTGATACAGTGACTGGGGTCATAGGGGTAGTCGTGTCAGTGACAGAATGGCACAGGATAGAGCAGGGTATATAGGGCTGTTGTACATGGAGTCACTATGAGTCATAAGTGACTCGATGGAACATAAATGTCATTTTTACAATTATGTCCAGTGTGAAATATTTCTTGTTGGATGTTGTGAGAATATAAGGTTCTATTTTTAGTCTACAAATGTATTCTTCAATTTCATCTGTATAAAGGATAAAATGAGTTCTTTTTTAGAAGTCAATCTGCTCAGTGTTGGATATGTTTATTCAATAGTTGAAAGTTTTTATTCTGTTAACAAAATCATCACTCAGCCTTTTTGGAGTTCATGATTATGGTTCATATAAAACCAAATTAAAAATAAAACAGTCAAGCTGCAGATAGCCTGTCAGGAAAGATAGATAGCTATGACAATTACTTCACAAAACATTAAAGAAGGGACTAAGATTACACTGTTTACAAAAACAATGTAGCTGGCATGCGGACCATGACTGCTGACCTCTACTTTTATTCCAGAAGGGGAAACAGTCCCCATTCACAATATTAACAGAACAAAACTGTTTCCTGTGAGGTCAGACATGCCCTCCATTTCCCTACAACTACTTCTATCAGTAATTGTCCCTCCCAGGGTTCTCACTGTTTTCACTACTCCTTTACAACGGCCACACAGCTCCACGTACAATATTTATGATTATGAGGTTTATTGGGGAAATGGATACACTTCTTTAGTAAGGACACTTTCTCAGGTGTGCTTACAGGCTTTCTGACCTTCTCTGTCCTCAAAGGACACACTGCACTCTGCTTCTTTGTTGCAAATAGTAAAATTAACTTTTTCTGTCTCTAAGCTAGCTGAATTTAAGACTGACCAATACTGACATTCATAATCCACATACTTTGCATATTCCCACCCCAAAGGTGCTATGCACCTTATTAGCAAAATCCCACCCAGCCATATGGTGAATGTCAAGCCATTTTTACTACAACAAACTATCTTTGTGAGGTGGAATGGAGAAAACCACATGCATAAGGAAGGAACTTCATGAAAGGAAGTGAGAAAGGGCCTGCCTATAAAGTGACCAGTCTAAAAGAAATCAAGTAAAGATATAGCAATAATGAGATATAATGACAACATATTTGAGAACTTTAACTCAGCCTTGATTCAAGATAAGTACACTTGAGATTTTCATATAGCTTAAGAATGTATTTCTTTTTTTGCCTATATTACTTTGAGCTGGGTTTCTATCACTTAAAACCAACAGTACTATATAACATAAAGAGACTTTCAGAAACAGAAATCTGTATTTTCTCCAAGAAGGCAACATAAGCATATACTTACCCGTTCCTGTCCAGCAGTGTCCCAGATGAGGAACTTATGAAGTTCATTACCACAAGGCACAGTTTTGGTCATAAAAGATGCCCTGTAAAACAATCAAAAGTTCTATATTATTAGTTACTCCCTATAAAGTTTTCAAAAATTCCTATTTCAAACAGTGTATGCCTCAACAGTTTTCTCAAAGCTCTTACTCTCAGAAAAGCACTAAAAACAAACAAAGAAACAAAAACAAAAAAAGGGCTAATTGAGTCATTTACCCAAACGAAAAAAACTCTAGATATTCTGTTAATCCCCCTAGAAGTTCAGGAAAAAAGCAAAGGATACATTCAGAAAGTTTATCTCCAAATGCATTTTGTGTTAATTCTGCAATTGCTCTAATACTTATCAAATCACAAGAAAGAGTAAAATTTTAAATTTTAAAAATTATCACAACAATTAACTGTGAATAGAACAACTGATATGTTCATATGTACTAGTTTGGGCTTCAGAATGACATAAACAGAATATGTTTACCTATCTGATATGAAAGCAACAAGTAAAGTGACAGTAGAATATTACATTATCTATCCACTGCCATTAATGTAGGCAATAAAGATTGGCAATTGAACATATTCTTTCTGCTGGTTGGTTTTGTTGTTGTTTTTTTTTTAAGATCTTAAATTCTGAGATGATAATAAAGCACTAGGTGCATTATACTTTTGCATTTATTTTCTCCTTTAAAATTTTTTTCTTTTATATTGATTTGCATACACAATTCATACACATCATGTTTCATACTTTCTTCATTCACATTGTATGTCATATTATCATTCTCATGCATTGTGTTTTACAAAATTAATCACCATTGTACTATGCCCACCATTACTTAGTCTATTCAAGTTCCTGCCAGGTCTTTCCCATTTCCTTGTCCTATTCCACCCCCTCCACCAAATTCTGTGATCCTGTAATTCCCACCCTAACCATCCTCACCGCTCTATTCCCACCTCTTTCCTGCTTGGGCCCCCTGACACATTTTACTAATTATCAAGAAAATTAGAACTGAGACACAAACGGAGTTCTATACATCAATGTTCATAGCAGTGTTATTCACCATCACAAGAACATGGAAACAGCCTAAACGTCCAACAATGATTAAATGGTTGAGAAATTGTGGTACATTCATAAGATAGGATACTACACAACACTCAGAAAGAACGATGTAGAAAAATATATAACTTGGAAAAGACTGCTGCATACTTAGTTTCATAAAGACCAATAAATACTTCATGTATTTCCTTAATAAGCCTTTTCCCCTCTTTTGAACATGAAAATTAAAAAATTCCATCACAAAGAATATTTCATATCCTTAATTTTCTTCCATGAGATAAAATCCATTAAAATTAACAAAAATCTTCAAGAAAAAGAAAATCTGTAAAATATGGTAAAACCCTTGATGAGGTTAACAAGTCTTGCCGAAATGTTACATCTTTTCAATCAGTTTCTATTAATAGAAAATATTTGAGTTTCCTAGGTGATGTAGTGACTTGAATCGCCAACACAGACAAGGATCTCTGTTGGTCAAAATCCACCATCAGCTCCACAGAAGATAGTTAATCTCTACCATTTGACCCAGCAATTCCACTACTGGGAATATACCCTGAAGAGACCATAGCTGACATCCAAGCAGATATATGCACACCCATGTTCATTGC